TTCCCCTCCTGTCTCTTTCACCAAGAAAGGGAACCTAATATCATAGAATATTCTGAAAATAAGAAAAATCTATTGTTTACGTTATTATAGATTCAGAGAAAAAGAAGAGACTGTCCGTGGAATGGATGTTCTTTGGAGGATTTGTGATGGAGAACCAAATATTTTGCAGAAACATAAATCAATATTAGTGAGAACCAACAAGCTCAAGCAAGATAAGCCCAGAAGTCATACCCAGACACATCACAGTCAAATTCAAAACTCGTCACTGTTTGCTTATTTCACTGGGCACTGCTGATCTGCATCAGCAGCTCATCGCCTGCTCTCAGGGACAGGCTAGAGACAGACAAGGTCAAAGCCTCCCACCAACAGTGAGGACTCTGCTGGGAGTGCACTTATTCCAACAGGCCAAACCAAGGAGGAAGAGAACTGGACTCCATCTTGGAGGGGGTAAGGCATGTGGGAAGTGTGGACTCTGAAAAAGGTGGGGAGGCCAAAATTTCTTGGTTCAGTCTTTGTTGTGGAGGAGGAGCTAGAAGAAGAGTTGGTGTTGACAGGGATGTGGGCCCTGTTTTGGGATTGTGGGAGCATGGAGACCCAATCAAAAACAACAGAAAGCTATTCCAGTGTTCCTTCCTGTTTTCAAAGCAAGGATCTCTCTTGTGGAAGGTGAACATGAAGATCACTACCTCTCAGAATTAGTAACCAGCAGACTCTTGGGTGCTCACACCAGAAGAACCCTGTAGCCACTGAAGGGATGATGCAATGGTGTTCCTCAGCAAGAACTACTGGAGGCAGTTTATTGCATGTCTCAAGCATGTCCATTTATTGCAAAGCAAGCACAATCTTTTATAGTCCCCCAGACAGGGAAGGCAGAAGGGTATCTCCCAACAATCCTTCCCCATCAAAGGCAGTGTAATTGGCTAGAAAGCAGCTATGACTCTGTGGACCCTTCATCCTGTTACAAGTCAGTACATCATGTATAGGTAGCAGGCATGCTGCAGGTCACATCTACCATGCATCGCTGGCATGAAACATAAGACCATAACACTTTCTCAGATTTGTGGATAAAGAAAGTACCAGCACAGTTCATCCAAAGAGTGAGAAGGCAAACTGGGACACAACCCACTGTTCTCACCTATATAATCAATGATCAGGTCAGGTTGAGGTGTTGGTGTGCTACGACATTGCCAAGGACTCACACCATGCCCTTATGACCTTCCACATAGGCCATGCAGGCAGAAATCCACGGGTGATCTCTCACAAAAGACCTGTCTTCATTTATAGCTGTGTGTTTAATACTTTTCAAGGTATTATTTTGATTTGACAAAAACCCTGCAAAGTGAGTGTGTTGGTTCCCTTTCTATGCACATTTATGGAATCGTTAAAAATTGATGTCGACACTCATTACTTCACATGCTTTGTGTGGAGGAAGAATGACAAAAAGCAGCTCCCACCTTCTCATTTCCTTGCACATTTTCTTTGCGACCTGTATGTAACTCAACTTTTCAAATAATCATATATAAATCTTCACAAAAAATAAACATGTTGTCTTGATTGTGGAAGTTGTTCTTATCTGTGTCTTGTATTTTCTGTATTCATGAGAGACTCATTAGTTTATGGCAATCATCACACACATACCCAAAAGAGCATTTATTTAGAAGAGAAAAAGGCAAATAGACAAATTTCACATCTGCATTAGTAAGAGTTGATTCTACTTCATTAAATTGCCTCTTGGATTTGAATTCATTACTAAATGTGTGTGTTCATCTTCTCACATGCACAAAGCAGAACCTTGAGAAGTCCATGGTCTTTTCCATGAGATTCCTGACATTGAGACTTTCCCTGTGCCTTCTTGCTGCACTCAGGTAAGGCGATACAGAGTAGCACACACTGAAAAACCTTTGCAAGTCCTTTCTTGGCAGCAGTGAGGAACGGCTCCTGCCCTTAAGACACATCAACCCTGAACTACAGAACACTTGGATTTATAAAGAAAAAAGCCACTAACAAGGAGGGGCTTAGGTAGAATGAGCTAGTGCAGAAGTACCTTAGGGTGAGCACATTTTAAAAGTTCAGAAAGTATATATTTTAAGCTATATTTAGGATATAAGATGAAGCAATTTAAAGGGGTGGCCTTATTTTTATTTAAGAGAATGTATAGTACTGTGTAATAGAGACTGTAATATCCAGATGAGAGGATACAATGCAGAATGCATCTCTACTTCCAAATCAAAGATGGACTCCCAATGAAATTGTTGGACATATCTAGTCAATAGGATGTTGCGTTGTCTGGCATCGTCCATGCCCGCAATGTCAGGATACAATTAAATAGTAGAATGATAAATTTATGCCTGCTTATGAAGGACTATACTATTGTAACAATATAGGTAAAATAAGTGTGGGGGCAGGACTTGGAGGGGGTAAGGTAAATCACAATACCTATGGAACTGTATCATAAAAAAATCTAGAAAATAGTAGAAGAGGCAGAATCCTTGTATAACACAACTGTAAAATCTGTGAATGGACAGGCCTTTCCTCTCACTCTTTGTGTCTTTATGATTTTATGCTCAGAATCAACACCATTAAAAAGCAGTAGCAGAAAAGTTAACAACGTAGGACATTGGGTGTTAGCTGTGCAGTCAAGTCAATCTGAGTGATGTTTCTGATATATTTTTTTTTCAAAAATTAAAAACAAAACACGGAAGTTTAAAAAAAAAATGAGAGAGTGACCACTTCTTTTTCCCAGATATTTTCTCCAAGTTGTTTTCTGACTCTTGGTGGTGAGTGACAGAGGTGAGATGAAATCATAATCAAGTCCAAGGAACCTGGACCCTCTGAGATCTGCTCATTATCATGCTGCCTTCTGCTCATTAGTGTATATTCAGTGCAATTAGGATTAGGATCCTAATTACATGTACATTCAGTGTAATTAGGATCAAGAAGTTCCTGGACTTGACAGTTAAGAGCACAGCAGGGAGAGGGCAGAGATGGCCCCAGGGACCCAGAGCACACTGAAGAAGCCAAACTCATCACACTGACAAGCTGACATCAGTGACAGCATCTCTGAGTGCTGGGACGCAGGCAAGGATAAACAGGCTTGGCTGTGCTGCTCTGCCATGCTCCTTCCACAGTCCTGCAATGCTCAGGTGAGTGAAGCTGAGTGTGTGTGTGTGTGTGTGTGTGTGTGTGTGTGTGTGTGTGTGTGTGTGTATGTGTGTGTATGCAGGGGGAGCTGCCTTTGCTCTGGAAGGGAAGCTGTTCCAGGTAGGGCTGTTCAAGGTCAGGTAGGGAGTGGGTAGGGTTTCAGCTCCTCTGTTCCCTGTGGAAGAGGAAGGTGTGAGTGCTCAGGTTGAGGGTGGCTATCACTTCCCAGCACATCCAGCAACACCTGCTTGTGTGGCCTTGTAGGGAAACTGTGTGCAGCTGAGCCACTGTTGCCCTGAGCCCAAGGTTGCTGCATTTCTCAAGTGTGAGGGAGACTGGGGGCATCAGGCAGTAGTGGGTTAGCAGCCTGGGAGGGAAGCCCCTTCCTACAGGCTCTTGGCTCTGTGCACCTTCCCTTCCTGCATGGGAGTTTTTACTTTCTCTCAAGTTTCTCTTCTGTCTGATGTCGTTCAGTGCTTTCTGCTGATTTATTATGGACTTTTTTGAAAATAATGATTTTAAGTTTTCTGAATTCTCCATTTTTTAGAACCACCATATGACACATGCAAGAAAATGGATCAAATGTGACATCTGGTAGGCGAATACATAACAACACAGTCAGAAGTGCTTGGCAATCAGTGTTTTCTTCTTGCTGGGGACTGACGTGAGCACTCTGTACATCTGCTCAGTTCTCATAGTGAACTTGAATGATATAAATTGCCATCCTGTTTACAAATGACAAAGTATGGTCTGAGGAAGGGCAGGTATGTTTCCAGCATCATACATGCCAATGTTCCTTGGGGGATACGCAGGCTAAGTACAAGGCATACAGGAAAAAAAGCAAATGAAACAGTAATCCTTCCTGGTTTGCTGCAGAGGTGGAGGAGCATGAGCCTCAGCTGCCCCTCCCTCAGGCAAGGAGCTTTCTCTCCCTTGCCCTGCTCCAGGACAATCAGCTTGGAAGGGGTGAGTTACATCCTCAGCCTAGGGAAGCAGCCAATCATATTAAAAGCACATATGGTTCCTAAGCCTAGTTTTTCTTTATAATTGAAACATAGTAATTGGACAAATTGACAGATTTCAAAATGTCATTTTGGTACCTGAATATAATTTGTAAGGAATACAGCATGATATACCTCATGCTTTATCATTTGCTTGTATTGGAAACATTCAATTGGCTCTCTACTGGCTATTCTGAAATATGCATTATTTATTGTACATGGTGCAAATATTGCTGGAGTATAGAATGTTACCTCTCCTAGACATCTTTGCTCTTCTATCCATGAATTTCCTCATCCGTGGAATTTGTTACATGCTGTGATAAACACTTGTGTGTTGTTCCCTTGTTTGTGATGGAATTTTCACTCCAACAAATAAGTGAGGACAGGCCGCGTTTGTCTTTCTGTGCCAGGATAAATTCCCAGAGCTCACTGGTACAGAGGATGTGCATGGGGCACCAGCACAGACCAGATGGCTAAGGTGCTGAGTGTCAGCAGTGAAAAGGAAGGGCCTCAACATCATGGCTTGGAACTGATGATGGAGTGTTTTGACTTGATGTTTTCTGGGAAAAGTTCTTCAAGTACCTTTCCACCTGATCAATACATATAACGCTCTTGTAGAAAGGCAGGAAGATGCACTAACACAGATGTCATGTTTCAGTTGCAACTGTTACCATCCCTGTTTCAACAAACCAACACACAAAAAAGGAGATCAAATAGGAGATGAGAGAGCTTCTAAGAATGAACAGCAAGGTATGAACGTGTCTGTGCAGCTCAACCTGCATGTGCATCATCACTGCTCTTGAATAAGCAGAGGAGATCCACACACCTGAAATTTGCCATGTTACCTTCTTTGTTTTCCTCACACTGTTTCTCTAGTCCTGTTCCTGAAGTCAGAGGATGACCTGGAGTGACCTCATCCAGAGAATAGTCGTTCTTTCTCTCTCTGGACCTGGAATGGTGGGGAACTTCCTCATAGTTGTGAGACATGCACACACTTTGGTCATGGGTTCTGTGAAAAAATCCATAGACCTTATTCTCATCCATTTGGCTTTTTCAAATATTATCATCATCTGTACCACAGGAATGAAAGACATAATCACAGTCATTTATATCAGTAACTTCCTACTAGGTGAGATTCTTTGTAAAACTGTGATTTACCTGAATAGGGTGGCTCGAAGTCTCTCCATCTGCACCACTTGCCTCCTCAGTGTAGTCCAGGCCATCACCATCAGTCCCAGGAACACCTTGTGGGAACAGCTCAAACCACACACTGCATGGCAGGTTCTTCCCTACCTCCTCTTCTTCTGGGTCTTTAGCTTCCTCATTGGCTCTAACTTTCTCTATTATATCACAGCAGTCAACAACATGAATGAGTCTAGTGTTAGACTCTACATTGAACATTGCTACATGCTGCCAGCTCCACAAATGATCAGATGGCTCTTCCTCTGCCTCATGGCTCTTCGAGAACTCACCTTTCAGAGTCTCATGGGCTGCAGCAGTCTGTACATGGCTCTCTATCTGTACAAACATCACAAGCGTGTCCTCTACCTCCAGAGCTCCAGATGTGCCAAATATCCCAGCCCAGAGATCAGAGCTACTCAGAGTACTCTCATTCTCATGACCTGCTTCCTGTTCTTTTATTGGCCAGATTTCATTTTGTCCTTCTACATAGGGTTCACTCTGACACAGATTTTCACAATATCCAAGCTTAAAGTATTTCCAGAATTTGGTTTTGCCAGTCTCAGTCCCTGTGTCCTGATGCAGGATCGAGCTTCCCTAATGCCTCCTCCAGTTCCTGAAAACATAGCTCAAGGTCCCAGTGCTGAGGCCTACTGGCTAAAGTCCTCGCCTTGAACATGCCAGGATCAAATATGGGCACTGGTTCTAAGCCCAGTGGCCCCACTTCCAATCTAGCTCCCTGCTTGTGATTTGGGAAAGCAGTTGAGGATGGCCCAAAGACTTGGGACCTTGCACCCATGTGGGAGACCTAAAAGAGCTCTGGCTTCAGATCAGCTCAGCTTTGGCCGTTGCAGTCACTTGGGGAGTGAATCATCGGATGGAAGATCTTCCTCTCTCTCTATATATATAATTTTGCAATGAATATAAATAAATCTTTAAAAATATACAGCTCTAGAAATTTCCTTTCCCTAAATGCATGTAGCACTAAATCATCAAGGCTTGTACAAATAGACTTGGTTTCTAGACGCAGCCTGATACTAGGCAATCTAAGCTGATTCAGATGTTGTAGGAACCTAGAAAGAGATCCTTCCTTTGCATTCAGTTTGCCATCCCTAACACTTGGTTTTGTGTTCTGTTTACTTGGTTTTTGCTTGATTTTCCTCTTTTAAACCCAGAGTGACAGATAGGACAAGGTTAGCTCATTTGCCGTTTTCTCAAAAAAAAAAAAAAAAAGGTGCAATTACTACAAATCACCACATAAAAATGCACAAGATAAGAATGCAGTACTACGAAATTCCAAAAGTTCTGTTTGTACTAAAATATTTCCAAGTGGCTTTCACTTGCACAGTGCACAAGCAAAAAATGGCATATTTTTATTACTTCCACACACTTTAACAATTCATCCTTTAAATCATTAAAATGTAAAATTCACTCACCCATTGTGCATTTGCCTCAATGTTGTACACACACGATCACTATCGATTCTAGAGTTTGTCTTCATTCCAAATGAAATTCTGTAACTATAACACAACAATTTCCCATGTTTTCCTTCCTTTGTTACCTGTTAATTTCTGTTCCTTCCATTTCTCTGTACCGGAGTATTTTAAAATCACAAACATTAAGGAATGTTCATTGAAATATGAGCCCAAGGCATGTGATGGAGTGGTGCTTAAGTCCCAGGGCTGAGACATCCATGCCTGAAAGCTTGAGTTTTACTGTTGTTGCTATTACTATTGTTATTGAAAGTGCAATGCAGAGAGCTATAATTTTCTGGTACACACGCCGTGTGACAAAAACAGCCAGGTTTGGGCCAGGCCGAATTCAGGAGTTGGGTCTCTGCCATGGTCTCTCACATGCATGGTTGGGGCCCAGATACTTTGTCCATTTCCTGTACATATCCAAAGGCATAGGATCAATGAAAAAATGCATATTCATGAGTTGAAACTACTGTTATGGAATCACAGGTGGCAGAGCACCCACTGTGCCTGACTCATTTGTTTAAGGGAAAAATAGCATCTCCTTTCAGGACAGGATTTCAGTTTCACTGCAGATGCTTACTTGTGTGTTGATTTACCAGTAGGCTTTTGTTTCCCTCTTCTGGCTCTAGTGGTCACTACATCAATAATTGCTAGTATAGATGTCCCTGCTCAAGTATTTGCTTTCCTTGGTTTGAGTGGATAGCTAGGGTGGAATTGCTGGAGCATAGGTTCATTGTAACGTGTCAAAAACCCCAATATTTAGATTTTTTATTAGTTTCTGGAGAAGCAGCACTGCAGCACTGCAGATGACCATGTCCATTGCAGCAGCAGAAACACCTGCTGCAGTCCAAGTTGAAACCCCAACATCCCCCTTTGCATCACACCTACCACACATCATCTTCAGCATTCCTATCCCAGTCTTTGTCTTCCCCGTGCAGCTTCGGCACCGAGCTTTGGATTCAGGCTCCCTGTTGCCAAACCTGCCTCTTCCATTCCTTGTCAAATCATGCTCAGCACATTGTTGGACACTCCAGCAAGACTGTACTGTATCGGGCCCGGCGTGGTGGCACAGTGGTTAAGGTCCTCGCCTTGCACGCCCAGGATCCCATATGGGCGCCGGTTCTAATCCCAGCAGCCTCTCTTCCCATCCAGCTCCCCGCTTGTGGCCTGGGAAAGCAGTCGAGGATGGCCCAAAGCTTTGGGAACCTGCACCCTCGCGGGAGACCCAGAAGAGGCTCCTGGCTTTGGATCGGCATAGCATTGGCCGTTGCGCTCACTTGGGGAGTGAATCATCGGACAGAAGATCTTCTTCTCTGTCTCTCCTCTCTGTATATCCGCCTTTCCAATAAAAAAATAAAAAATAAATCTTAAAAAAAAAAAGACTGTACTGCATCTGAATCCTACATTGGCTTTAGTTTCCTCAGAGACCCACTCAAATTGTTCAGAATCTGCATCCCCTGGTATGGGATGCTGCAAAATGAATCTGTATAGAACACTTCATATCTGGCCTCATCATCTCTGGTTCCTGCTCCTCCTTTTAGGGGTGCATTTCCAGATTAGGATCCTGCTCCTCACCTTGGAGATCCTCCTCTTCCTGTCCTCAGTTGGTCCCTGGCTCCATCTTCTGGTCTGTTCCTCTTGGGCCATGCTGTTTTGCCTGGACTGCTTTGGCTCTGTGTGGGCCACCTGGATGAGTAACTAAAGGGAAGGACATGGACCCTGAGCCAGGAAGATGACTTTTCTATCATGAACATCCTGTTCATGTCCATCCTCCTACAGGGACTCTGTTACACCTGTTTCAAGGACACATGCCCATGAGGCTGCTGCTCAGGATCCTCTTTGACAATGAAGGAAGACATTTATACCACAGTCTTCGTTCCAGTCACAAACACAACTGACTTCCCTGTGGTCTTGCTAAGCACTGCTGGAAGAGATTTAAGGGGCTTTAAGGGACTTTCATTTCAGTAGATCTTTCTGAATGGCAGTCTGGGTCTGAGGCACAGACTCTTTTTCCTCAATTCCTATGGGAGGACCCTTCTTTAGACATATGTGAGTCCCACAGCTGTGTTTCACAAGCTCCTCTATCATGGTGTTTTCCTCAGTGTTGGCCTGTGCCACTCTCCCCAGATACTCTCCTCAGGTCAACCTCTTCCCACAGCTGCCTCCTGCTTTCCACCGAGGCCTACCATAAACTGGTTTCCTCTTCACGATGCTCACCATCCACATTGGCCTCCTGCTTTCTAATTAGCTGGTTATGATGTGGCACCAACACATCAGCATCCTCTCCCTTCCTGCCCAGCAATTCACATAGAATTGTGGACATGATCCTAGAACCCTTGAGTGGGGAAGCCTGTGAATTATAGTGGGTATATATAGTAGCCAGAATTTTTTTCCTAACTTTGGAAATTAAACTCATCTTGTGATCGCAATTACACTCATTTTGTGCATCCTGTGCAAAGGCAGTTTCTGTGAGGTGGCTGAGTTGACAAAGATGACTTCTACAACCTAATGGCATTTGTCCCCTGGAAGGGCTGTCTGGCTTTCATCTTCTGGTTTGGACAGCTGATGTGTTCATCAGTACTCAGGTCAGGAAGAATGAAAGTCCTGTAATCTAGGAAAAAAGACTGCATCTATTCGCATATAGTTTTTTTTTTTTTAGGTAAAGAAAGAAACTTTTTTAGAATTATGCAATAAATATTTGATCATATTGGTAAACATTTTATTACTTGGTCACTAATAAAAGCAAGCTTGATTGAGGAATGTTGATTTCTACTAGTACATATTTCTTTCCAAAGAATACGTAGTTAGGCAGCTGTATGTCTAAATAGGAAAGTACCTGACTCATGACCCTGGCCTCAATGAAATTTGTCAGTGCAGAAGAAGGGAGAGGAACAGACAAAATAATTTAAGCGTGTTTTCTTTGGGATCCTGAAACACAAAAGCCTGTCTCCAGGAGTCTCAGTGTCTGAGATTTCCATCTATGTATCTATGCATCTATGTGTCTGTCTATCTATCTATCTATCTATCTATCTATCTATCTATCTATCTATCATCTGTCTATCTAGCTAGCTAGCTAACTATCATCTATCTATCCTCTATCTGTGTATCTATTTTTAAAAAGTGAAAGGCTTGGGCCCAGCAACATGGTTTAGTGGGTAAAGTCCTCAGCTTGAACATGCATGGATTTCATATGGGCGCCAGTTCTAATCCTGGCTGTTCCACTTCCCATTCAACTCCCTGCTTGTGACCTGGGAAAGCAGTTGGGGATGGCCCAAAGCCTTGGGACCCTGTACCCATGTGGGAGATCTGGAAGAGTTTCCTGCTTACTGGATTTGGATCAGCACAGCACTGGATGTTGCAGTCACTTGGGGAGTGAATCATCAGACGGAAGATCTTTCTCTCTATCTCTCCTGCTCTCTGTGTATCTGACTTTGTGTAAATGTAAATTAATCTTTAAAAAAAATTGAAAGGCTTTACTTTATAAAGCTATACTGCAACACAAAAGTACAATACACAGTCACAGATCACAAAGTTTTCAATGTCATATAAACTAATTGTGAGATCAAAATTTGAAATAGTCATAAGAAAATTTGATATCATAATCAATTGGTATATGATATCCCACCATTCTGATGTAATAAACCTAATAATGTAATTTCAGATTCATGAAAGACAACAGGATCTCATTAACCTGTAACTGTGAAGTCATAATCCAGTATCAACATTCCACTCTGATATCATAACCAATTGCTTTGTGAAAGCAAGAATTTTGCAATTATAATGAATTTGAAATCAGAAAAAAACAATCCATTGATATAATATCATAAACATTCATGAAATCATATTTATGAAATCATAAACATTTCTCAAGTGAAAGCCATATTCTGATATCGGCCGAAGAGTGTCAGATGATCAATTAAGAAGTCACAAAATGACAATTACGCAATTATCACTATCATTAAGGCCAAAAACCATCCATTAATAGTAAAAGCATTGTGACATCTTAATCAATTTGTATATGATCAATCACCATTCTTCTGCAATAAAACTCATCTACTATTGATATAATCAGTTGTAAGTCATAAAATTCTCATGACTATAATGAATCTTGATTTTAAAGCAACCATTGTATAATAATAATCAATTTATATTATGAATCATCATTCAACTGTCATAAATCAGCTATTGTGCCCTCATAAACAATGTAATATGTATAAATCAACAGTCTTTTATTCCACAGACATTGAATATGCCATTTTTATTCACCTGCACATGAAATTTTCTCCAGTATTGATCATATTATAGGTCACAAAAGAACTCTCAGTAAACTTTTTCAAAAATCAGAATCATCTTATGCATCATTTTAATTCTATCTCTAGGAATCCTAGAGATATCTTTTGTCTGTTCATTCTTCACAGATTATGTGTGTGATATATACACACATTATCCCATTTGTTTTACTTTTTTTCTGAAAAAAGAATGTGGATGAAAATACTTTCTACCCATATTTTTAATGTCATTTGTGAAGTGAATAGTAGGATCGGCATTTGCTGTATCAGCTAGGAAGCCACTTGATGTGCATTTATTCTGTCTCAGAGAGCCTGGGATGGAGTTCTAGCTCCACTACCAACTAAAGCTCCCCACTAACATGGTTGAAAATTGAGGTGGCTCAAATAAAAGGGTCACAGTTATCTCCTGTTGAAGTCATATTACAATCTTGGATTTCATTTTAGGTCTGTCATTGCCTTGGAAATATCAGATATTTGTGGAATAAAATAATCATTGAGAAATCATTTTGCCTCTATTGAATAAAACAAGTAAGATAATATTTGAAAACTTTTAGTGAGAAAATTATTTGTTTGGAATACATGATTTTAAAGCTAGTCAAACTATCTAAATACATATTATCTATGTGTAATAAATATGTATGGAGGGTTTTATTTTTATGTTAAAAGGCTGATTTTGCAGAAGAGAAAAAGAGATAGAGAGAAGACATTCTATTTCCTGGTGCATTCCCCAGATAAATTGTAGGAGCCTCTCTGGGGTGTCCCACATGGGTGCAGTAGCCCAAGGACCGGGGCCATTCCTTGCTGCTTTCCCAGGCCACAAGCAGAGAACCAGATTGGAAGTGGAGCATTCAACACAGGAACTGTACTTCAGATGGCAAAGATGCAAGTGCCACAGGTTGCATGCAGGTCTAATGAGCCCCCAAATATGTTTTTAAAGTTGCCAGTAACATTCAAAAGCATAAATTGTACCATAAATGGGATTTGTGTACTTAGTGTCTTCATTTAATGGACTTTTACAGTGTTGCATATGAAAACACTTTGACATATCAGACTCAGCTAATGCTGTGTACCTACTAATGTTCCTAACATTGCAGAGTTTACCATGTGTAGAACAGGCCAACCCTCTGCCTCCAAGTGACAGCATCCAATACGGGCAACCATTTGTGTCTCAGCTGCTTCACTTTTGGATGGAACAGGGAGCATTCCTGCCCACCCCCACCCCCATATGCATTGATATGAGCACTGTGTGTATGAACCTGTATGAGCTGGACCTGATGCTTCATCAGCTGGTGTACATCAGAGCTAGGTCTGAAGACACAAGGTTTCTTAGGGGACTGCCCAATTGGACTGCTGAAGTAGAAACTCGTGTGTAGGGAAAATCCTAAGGCCATGTGCATTGAATCAGGATCATATTTTATAGGACTGTACGTTTTTGCTTACTGATTTCCACATAAGAAAAGAAAGCATGCCCAGTTACACATGAAAAGCAAGACAATCAGATGATCTAAGCCAACAGAAGATTTTGAATATTTCACCAAAAGATGGATAGATGGACAAGGTGGAAAACACACCTGGACAGGCTTTGCAGCAAGCTCCTAGGTCTGTGGACACACTGAGGATATCAAGGACAGCCCATAGACCTTAGAAAGAACTTTCCAGCTCCAGTATAAGGAAACCAACAACTTTTCAGGACAATCAGGACCATTCAAGTAATACCCTTGGAACATTATATCCATTGGTGACTTTTAGAGGCAACATAGGTAACATGACATGATTAACTGTTCCTTAGCACTGATGGAGTGTGTCAGTGAGAACTGGTACACTCTTTCTGCCCTTCAGCATCAGACACAGGAGAAACTGCTGAACCATTTGTCTCATCCATCTTTACCTGTCCCCATTCTTGAGCCACTCCACATAAATCAGAGGCCCTCAAAGGTGTGCAACCCCCTCACCCATATAATAACTACTAAAATAAAAAAAATCTAAAAGACCAAACAAATAACCAAAAACATCAACAAAGTAATTTTGTAAAAGATACATTTATTTTCCTTGGAAAGACAATTTCATAGAGAGATGGAGAGACAGAAATCTTCCATCTTCTGTTTGTCTCCTTAAATGGCTGTGATGGCTAAAGCTGAGCAGTTCCAAAGCAAGCAGCCTGGAAACAAGAGGCTCTTACAGGTATCCCACAAGGGTACAGGGCCCCAAGGCTTTGAGAAGTCTCCTCTGCTTTCCCAGGATACTTCCTGGGAGCTGGGTATACAATGGAGCAACCAGGACATGAACCAAGAGCAATGTGTGGTCCCTGTGTTGTTGTTGTTGGATTAGCCAGTTGAGTCCATGTCCCGGTCCCTAAAATAAATAAACAAATAACAAAAATGAATATTTAGAGTACACTTATAATTGTGAAATGCTTCATCCTTGCAATGTTGGCCATGTATAAATTGTTGGTATGTATAAAAAGCTGAATAAAAAGTGATTCTTAAAAATTTAAATTGTGCTCAGTATCTGGAACTCATGCAAAATTCTTAAAACAGGAGTATTTGAGTAACAAAATGAGACAATGTTTTTGGAAATATCACATAATCTGTGAGCCTTAGGACATGACCCTTCAGAGATCAGTCTGTGAAGACCCTCCCAGAGTGTGAGATATAGGATGTACCAGCTGGTGTTGAAGTGTAGTGAGTACAGTCTGACAGCCATGATGCCAGATGGAATCCTGACTGTTCCAATTCTGACCCAGCTTGCTGGGAACGCACAAAGGAAAGCAGCAGAGGGTGGCCCAAATGCTTGGGCCCCTGCACCCATGCAGGTAATTGGAGGAGACTCCTAGTTTCTAGTCTTCCTACTATCTTGGTGTCTCCTGGTACCAGACATGCCAGCTCTGTCCCTGTCGACATTTGGAAGGGAACAAAAGTGGATTGAACATCTGCTCTTTCTATCTCTGTGCTTCTGATTTAAAAGAAACCATTTTTGAAAAAATAGCTCCTTTAAAAGGTAAAAAATGATAATTTTTCTTCATGAATCTTGAACAACAAATGCTGATTAATCCTTCAAAGTTGCAGTTGATGACCTTCAGAGACACAGTATCTAAACTCACCATGATGCGACTTAGTTGCAGCTGTCCATTTCCCATGGAAACCCTGAAGGACCCACAAGAATGAGGGACTGAGGAGTAAGGAGATTGAACCTTTAGGGGAGTTTTCTCTGGACAAGTTTTTAGCATCAAGTCAGGTATGAAACTCTCTCAGATTGTTTCTTACAGACAACCAATCTCAATTTGCTTAGAAACTATAATGCTAAGGGAAATGAGCGAATCCCAAAAGATTAGATACCACATGTTTGCCTTGATTTAACCTGTAATTTTTTGTTTGGTTGTTTGTTATTTTTTGAACGTGTCATTGATACTGTCTCAACCCAGATGTTTCGAAGAAGGGAACTTGCATTATTTTTAACATATTGTTTACCCAATACTATGTCAATTAATTCCATAATGTTGTATATTGATACTGAGGCCTTGTTGGGGCTTTTAACTGACCGGATCTTTACTCTGTTGGACCTATCTTCAGACCATAGAAGGTCTCCCCAAGAGGCCACTGAGCTTATCTGGACAATAAGACGCTGAACTTTATGCTAGGCATGTGTTTGCAAGCAATGAATCTCAACTGAACTTGAACTATGGTTATGCAACAAGGTGGAGGAATCCACCATGGGGGGAGGGGTATGGGAGGGGTGGGGGGAATCCCCAGCGCCTATAAAACTGTACTACATAATACAATGTAAGCAACAATAAAAAAAAAAAAAGAAAGAAAACAAGATAATTGCTCAGAGAGGAGGACCGCCCATCAGTCCTGCCCACTGAGCCTTTGTGCGCTTGCCTCATGACTGGCTGGAGCGAAGTGTGAAGTGTGCATGCTCTCATGGTGTTGCTTGGCAACACTCATTGTGACTTGAGGTGGGGAATCTGTCAGGGGCCAAACCTGGGGCTCACCTGCAGGGCTGACCTTGTGTTTCCCAGGCTGGTAAAACCGCCACCAGTGCTGTCTGTAAAGGTTCTGCCTCCGTTTGAAGACAGACAAGTGTTTACTGAACTCCACCAGGTATGAGGATGACAAATGGGATAAACTCCGGGACTGCCTGCTAGACGAAGATCTTGGGAAACTCCTCACAGAAGTCATAAAAAGGAAGGAAAGTGAAGAACAGCATCTCCTGCTGCTCAGGACAGAAGGTAGGAACCCCGGGGACCAGACCAGGTAAAGGGGGTCACGAACCACCTTGGGTGCTGGGAAAGTGGCAGAAAGGGGGCCTCCTGAATCGGGCACAGGTTCCTGTGACTGGGGACTCCAGGTCTCAGCCCTGGCAGGTTCACCGCACTAGTTACACTTCATATTACTAGGAAAAAGATAAACTGTAGTGGGAAGTTGTGTTGACTAGGTGGGCTTTGGGTCATACAACTAATGGCTGAATGAGTAACAGTAAAACTTTGGTTCAGCAGTTGTGTTGAAGTGGTTAAATCGGTTGCTTGTGATGCCTGTACCCCATGTGGGCACCACATCATGTCCTGTCCACTTCCAGTCCAGCTCCCAGCTAATGATGTGCTTAGTTAGGAAAACCAACTTGAAGTGCTCAAGTGCCTGTGCCCCAATGACCCAAGTGAGAGATTTGGTTGAAGCTCCTATCAGATTTTTTTTTCTCTCTTTCTTTTCCTTCTCTGGTTCGTTCACTCCCTGTCTCTGTTAATCTTTCAAATAAATAATTAGATCTCTGAAAAAATTTAAAGCTTTAAAATATACAATGTAACAAATGTACTAGCAGAAAATACAAATTTCTACGAATTGTACAGTGAAAATGAAATCGCTAACGAAATGAAGATCACATAATTCTAAACGTTCATTTCTTAAAAATAAAATTTAAACCACCATGGTGGTGGGTGTCTGGTAGAGCACTTTGTGCACTGTTTGGAATAGCCATAAACCCACAGAAGATGCTGGGCCTGAGTCCTGGCCCCCCTTGCTCTTTCAGGTTTCTGTTCATGTGGGAAACCCAGATGGAGTTCTAGGCTCCTGCCTATGACCTGGACCAGTTCTTGTAGTTGTAGTGGAATGAAGTAGTGGATGGGATCTCTGTTTCTTTTTCCCCACTCTCAAATAAAACATATCTCCTTTGGAAAGCTGCATGGTGAAATGCCATTTAAGGCTCTGGTTTGTTTGTTTGTAAGAAGAAGTTAATTTTCTTTCTCCTCTGATACGGTATGTTGACCAGAGGTTCCCTTTGTGTTTCAGCCAGCTCGTTTTCCTGAATTGTGGAATGTTCCCTCTCACTCTTCCCTAGAGGAGGCACCATAATGTGGTTGACCACTCAGGTGAGCTGTTTTCTGCAAAGCATTTTTCCAGGCTGTATGCAATCACATCCTTAAGATTTCAACATTTTTTCAAATTTGATCTTAGAAGGGAAAAACCAGGATGTGTTAGTCTGTGTAGTCTGAGCTGGACACCACATTATGTCCTCAACGTTTGTAATTTCTTGTTGTTATCACAACAGTTTTTGAGAAGAATATGTTATTGCAATTATTATTTACACCTAGGCAGCTGTGGTTCAGAAAGGTGTATTAGCTTTTCCTAATTCCACAGTTAACCAGTATCTGACCCATGATTTGGTGCTCCCCTGCCTGACAATCTAAATCCCTTTTCTGTTTTTTTGCCTAGATTTACCATTCCAGAAACACTGGTATCAGACACCAACTCCATATAACTTCTGAAACTCAGGGTTGGGTTAACTGTGCACTTGTACCATCATCTGCCGCCTCCCCAGGCCATCAGTAGGGAGCTAGAATAGCTGGAACTCAAGCCAGTGGTCGTTTGGGCTGCCAGCATTACGGATGGAAGCTTCACTGGCTATGCCACAATGCCAAGCCACCTTTTAATTCAATCCTGATAAATTATATGTAGTCAAAGAATGCCCATGTCAGATTTTCCAATTTGTTGGTATATAATTGTTTACAGTAGTTTATTATGATGTATTTCTTTTCATCTCTAATTTTACTTGATTTTTATTTGTATGGTGAAATTCTTATTTTGCTCATATTTTTAAAAAATGGCCCGTGTTGTTGAATTTTATTTGTTTTTGTTCCAATTCCATTAATTTTTGCTGTTTTTCTTAAAATCATTTATTGATTCCTGCTAACTTTTCCTTTTAAAAACAGTCCTTGAGATCATTTACTTGAGATATTTCTATTTTTTGTGCTTATTGTTATAAATGTCCCTCTCAATGCTTTTGCTGTATTTCAATGGATGTTGATATTTTGTATTTTAATTTCCTGTCTTCCAGAATGTTTTAATTTTTAATTTTTCAGAGTCATATATGAAATACAGTTGCATAATCTTCTTCAAAAGGTTTTTATTTTGCTTTTAATTTCTTCAGTGGCACATTGTTCATTCAGTGGCATGTTTTATTTCATTTCGTTTTGGATTTTCTAGTTTTGTTCCTATTGTTTATTTTGTTTTTGGGTTTTTTTTAACTGATATTCTTAATCGAGCTTCATCTATACGTTGATGTATGGTCTCTCTTAAAATGTGCACATGTGGTGATGAGTAAATTACATAGCTTTTACTTCTTTGGTGATATTCTGTGAAAATCTGTGTGATTGGTTCTCCTCTGATGTTCCCTGTTGATTTTTCTGTGTGGGTGGTCTGTTGTTTGATGTTAGTAAGATGTTAAATTCCCACACTATTTTCATATTGGAGTCCATCTTTCACTTCAGGTTGTAGTAAAATCTTTGGCATTTGTCTCTGTAGTTTTCTTTTCTAAGTTTTTTTTAAAGATTTGTTTTTAATTATCTGAGAGGCAGGATTGGAGAGAAACAGGGAAGGAGAGAGAGAGAAGGAAAAGGGAGAGAAATATTTTATCTGGTAGTTACTCTCTGAATGTTTGCAGTTGTCAGGGCTGTGCCAAACTGAAGCCAGGAGCAGAAGGTTCTTCTTCCAGGTCATTTCCATGTGTACAGGGCACAAGCACGTGGACCATCCTCTACTGCTTTTCTCACACACGAAGCAGATAGCTGTATTGGAAGTGGAATAGCAGGTGTTGCAATCACTTCCCATACGAAATACCAGTGTTGTAAGCAAGTGCTTTATCCTTTACCCCAGATTGGAAACCCCCTTGTTCTTGGGTTAGGTCAGTATTTATTTATGCTTATCACATCTGCTTTGTAAAATTGATCATTTTATACATATAATGTCTTACTTTGTCTCTTTTTACAGGTTTGGATTTGGATTTAAGGGTTTTTTGGGTTTTTTTTTTTTTTTTTGGTTTTTTCTTTTGTTTTGTTTTTTTAGTATAATGATCCTCATTTCTGGTTTCCATTTGCTTGTAGTATCCATTTCCATAGTTTCATTTCCTTTATATTCCAAGTGATTTCTTGTAGGGAGAATGTGGTTGTTCCCTTTTTAAAACCCAGTGAACAAAGATACAGCTTTTGACTAGGGAATAAAATGCACTGCATTTAACATTGGTCAATTGCTAACATTTTGTTAACTTGTTAATGATTGTGTGTGTTCTCTTAGTGAATATGATACTGTTATGTTTTCATTATGGTTACTTCTGGTGTATGACCCACTTCAAATCTTTTGAAGGTTGTTCTGGTGGGGAATTCTCTGTCTAGAGAATACTTTCTTTCTTCCTCATTCTGAAGGATAGTTTCACTGGATATAATCTTGTTTGAAAATGTCCTTCCCTTTAGACATTGGATACATCATCTCATTATATCCTAGCCTGTTAGGATTCACTTGAGAAGTCTTTGTTAATCTAATTTATTTCCATTTATAGGTAAGGTGACATATGTTGATTAGAATATTTATTATTCTCTCCTAATTAGTAACTCTTTTGGTCAGGATTTAAATAATAATGCAGCTCCTTTGTCTCTGGGCTTTGCTGTACCCTTCCCCAAGACCCTCCACACTACTGATTTACCCACTAGTATTGTAATGGGTAGTCCTATATAAACAGTCATAAGTTTGTCATTCTGCTATTGAAGTGATTCCCAACATTGTAGGCAAGGAACATGTCAGAGAGTTCAGCATCCTCTTGTCAGCATATATTCAACAGTTTCACCAGGAATCCATGTTTGGTCTGGATGCAGTGATGCGTGCTGCACTATGTCTCTACATTTGTGCCTGCAACAACCCCGTCATTATGTATCCCTACCAGAGCAGAGGTGATAGGGTTGAAAGGAAGACAACACACACTGGGTCATTCGTGTCAGTAAAATGCCCTTTATTGAAGCTTCCAGGCTGCCATTTATATACTACCTAGTTCCTCTCAGTGTTTTTCCAATGATCAAGCAGCTCCTAAGATCTAAGTGGTGAAAGTGAAATGGTTCCAACTTTGTGCTCTTTATGTGAGTTATGACACTGTTGGCACAGGCAAGAGTGAGATCCGAAGTTTTTGTTGTCTCACCATATTTAGAAGTTTCATTGGGAGTCTACCTTAATTTATTAGTAGAGATGCATTCTGTTGATTTTCCTTGATTTCTGGTACTCTGGTCTCCATTACATCCTTCATGTTAGGAGCTCCACATGTGTATTTATTTACCTTCGTATATATATTTTTTTCTTTGTTTTTTTAATGGAAGTTACATTAGAGCAAACATATGAAATCTATCATTTTGGGATTAGTTCATTTCATTTAGCATAATGATCTCCCATTGGGCCAATTTTGAGGCAAACAATAAAATTTCATTCTTTTTTTTTAAATATCTGGCTAGTATTATGTAGAACAGATGTATCAGTTTCTTTATCCGGTCCTCTTGCATTGGGTATCTAGATTGTTCCCATGATTTTGTGATTGTTGATTGTGCTGTAGTGAATACAGAAGTCCAAGTGTCTTTCTCATGTGTATGTATCAGGTCTTTTGGATATATCCCCGGGAGTGGTATTGCTGGGTCATATGGTGTGTGAGTTGTCAGTTGCCTGATTATTCTCCATACCAACTTCCATAGAGGCTGCACCAGCTTACAATCACACCAAAAATGGAGGAAGAATATTTTCCCACATCCTCACTAGCAAGTGTTCTTAGTAGTTTTCTGTATGTGAGCCATTCTCACTGGAGTTAAGTGGAACCTCAATTTTGTTTTTATTTTTATTTCCCTTATTACTAAAGAGCTTGAACATTTTTTGTATGTCTAATCCATTTGCATGTGTTCCTTTTAGAAGTGTCTGCTGATTTCCTTCACCCATCTCTTTTTTTTTTCTTTTTAAAAAATTAATTTATTTTTATTGCAAGTTTTACATAGAAATTTGGAGAAACAGAGAGGAAGATCTTCCATCCAATGGTTCACTCCCCAAGTGACCACAACGGCTGGAGCTGCGGAGATCCAAAGCCAGGAGCTCTTCCAGGTCTCCCAGGAGAGTGAAGGATCCTAAGACTTTGGGCCATCTTCAACTGCTTTCCAAGTCCACAAACATGAAGCAGGATGGGAAGTGGAGCAGCGGAGATTAAAATCGGTTGCCATATGGGATCTCAGACATTCAAGGCAAGGACTTTGGCCACTATGCTATAGTGCCGGGTCCCCTTTACCGATTTCTTAGCTGGTTTGTTTGTTGATATGTTTTGGAAACCTTTTTATATTCTGGATGTTAGCGCTTTCTATTATTTGCTGTATAAAGGTTTTCTCTCCAGCTCTGCTGTTTACTTTTTACTTTGTTGATTGTTTCATGTGCTGTGAAGAAGCTTCTCAGTTTGATGTAGTCCCATTTATTCATTTTGTAATATCTATGATGATTTTTCTAGGAAGTCTGCTATGTCTCCATCTTGTATAGTATTTCCTGCATTTTCTTCTAATAGTTTGATTGTGTCTGAGTGTAAGTTTATCTCCTTTATCTATTTAGATTTGATCTTTCTGTATAGTGAAATATGGGGGTCTTGTTTCTTGCTTCTGTTGGCTGCTATCCAATTGTCCAAGCAGCTTTTTTGAAAAGAACCTTCTTTCTTCCCTGGGTTGTTTTCTGTTCTCTCTTTGAAGACTAGATGGCTGTGCATATGTGTGTTCTTTCCTGATGTTTCTATTCTGCTCCAATGAACTTGTCTCTGTTCCTCTACCAGTTCCAGGCTGTTTGGATGACTACCACCCTACAATATGTCATGAGATCTGGGATTGTACCTTCCATATAGGTTCTTATTCTTTAGGATAGTTTGGATATTCGTGGCCTCCTGTGTTTTCTAATGAAATTTTGTATCATTTTCTACAGTGTTCTGAAGAATGTTCTTAGTAGTTTGATTGGAATCATGATGAATTTTCATATTGGTTTTTGGATGTGGACATTTGGATTATATTTACTCTGAACATCCAGGAACATGGTATATTTCTCCACTTTTTAAGGTCTTCTCATTTTTCTTTTTCTAACGTGTTGCAATTTTCCTCATAGAGGTCATTGATATGTTTAATTGGGTTTATTCCAATGTACTTCAGCATCTATTCTGTTCTTTTAAATGATACCAAATGGATTAGTTCTTTTTCAGCCTTGGAATTGTTTGCATAAACTAGGGTATTTGATTTTTTGGTTTAGTTTGTACCTTGCTACCTTGCCATACCAACTTTCTTCTAAAACCTAGCAGTCTCTTCATTGAGTCTTTTCATTCTCATATGTATAGAATCATGTCATCTGAACACAGAGATAGTTGTCATCATAGATTATGATTAATTTTCCCTTTTCTGACTTCAGCACGTTTTTGAATAGCGTTCCCAGTAATTAGTG